AGACCTGAGTAGGGGGTACTGCATTAGTGTTGTCTTGACCATATCTTGATCGTTCGGCCGCCTGCCTGGGCCCAGTGCTCTTATCCGAGACACTGTCCTGTACTTTAAATGCTAGTCAGAAGATTGAGATGCAATTAAAAAAGCTGGTAGAATTATGTGCGAGGGACAAGGCACAAAATGCGAAGACGAGGCTACAGTACTTGTACATTCTGCAGAATAATATAGTAAGCCTTTTAGTTCTCAGATGGCGGTGCTGACATACCCGTGTGAGACCGCATGTTACCCAGACCATCTGAAGCTCCTGGCCCTCTGGGACATCTTTGTCTTCATCACTGACATGGTCTGGTGGTAGACACACTGCCAAGCGGCAGGCCTGAGACAAAACATCTGTAACCGGAATGAGGAACGGCGGACCCTCGCACGTGGAATCCAGATAGGCCCCGTGCTCCCAAAACATGATCTCAAGCTCTGGGCTGCAAGGCGTCATGAGTGCGCATTCAAATGATAAGTGGCGAACGTACTAAAGGTCCCATATGACCAATTGATCTATTTTGGTGCGCTTGAACCATCGAACGCTGAGGAGTTGCTGCCGCAACGTCGGGCAGTCACGAACTGACTGCGAGTGTGTAATAATCAGCTGCACTTTGCTGACAAATCTGTCTCCACCACGATTAATCTGGACGACTGAGTTCCCTGCCTTCCCATCGAAATGCGAAGGTGTTATCTTCCGTCCTCCCAGGACCACAAAATTGTGGAAGATTGCACTGCTGTCAATGTACGCAGCCGTCGGCAAAGGGTTCAGACAGGCATGAGCGACCACCTGCACTGCTGGGTATATTGTGTTGTAGAAATCGAGGAGCTGTGCTTGCTCAGAAGGTTGAAGAGCACTGCACACACCAGGACCCATAAGGAGACCAGTTGTCACTGAACAAAGTAGCTAGTAGGTTTGCATATCATGTGTATATGAGACAGCTTACTCTCCTCCGATTTTACCGCAGCATCCCGCGCAAGGTCAGTGACCGTTCCGCGAGCTTCGCCGTCACCCTTTGTAAGAATACATGCCGTGTCTCTTATCACGACATCCTCTTGGGACACGCCTTCAAGAGAGATCGCGCTAAGGTTATTCAACTGGAAGGATGCAGTGAATAAGAAGAGCTGATTTCGTGACTGAGATACTCACCATGGACCGTAACTTGACTTGGCGGCTAAACTTGCGGAAGAAGGTTACTTCCAGCTCACCGCCGCCATGTCCGTTCACAGAGTAGCCTTTCAGAATGTTGTTCAGACGTTCAAACAGGTACGTCCAGAAGCCATACATAGGGCCGTAGTCAGGGATCTGGTCAAATATATGAGTCGAGTAGTAGATATTTGGCTTGATGTGCTTGGGGTGCATCTGCAGAAAGTTATAGCCACTAGATTGCTGCAGACATCATGCGAAGGATAGCTCACCTTGAAGAATCCATCAAGGTAGTTTTGGAAAAGCTCTTTTGCCCTCTCAAGGTCGTTGATATCAATCGTTCATGCAAGGAGAATTTTCATGGTGGCTGCGAGCGACAGGAAGTTGTTGGCATCCTTGCTGTGCATGCGACGCTTTGGCTTGGGTGCCTCAAACTCTAGGTCGCCACCTTGTTCGCCACGCGCACGTTTTTCGTTGCACTTTCTGTGGGCCTTATCGTTCTTCGTCCAGCTAGCAAGCTTTCGGCCATACTCAGTATCGGCAACAGCTGACCATTCATCCCAAATGAATGGTATCTGTAAATTGTTCATATTACATTAAGAGGCATATCTCAGAGAGCAGGACGCGCTTACCATGATAGGACCATAAACCAGAAGGAGAGCCTTCCATTTGTCTGATGTAAGAGAGCCGCCTGCCGGGTATCCGACGTCTTTCGGTAGACGAGCAACCCATGAAGGCATCTCAAACTCGAAGTAGATTGAGTTAGACAGGTGACTCGCATTGTTGAAGGTTGAATAGCGGCGCACCTTGGTAAGATACCCATGAATCCGGTCGAGCTTGCGTGGGACACTCTTCAGTTGCGTTCGCTCGCGCAAGGCTTTATCCTTGACCCAGACATCAAACCAGATGTTCTTCATGATGCCTAGAGAGAGAGACATGATCAGAAATCTGTTATCCAAGGATCTAGCCTCCAGGGACACACCAAGCAGCAGGTTGTGCATCGGGTCGATGATGGCCATCCGGACTGGGTTCCAGTACGGCAGACGATTCAACTCAGAGCCGCGTACGCCATTTGCCTGGCAGAATGCATCGCGCTCTTCTTGAGTATGCAATTTGCTATACTCTTCTGCTAGTTTGCGGTGGTCATCGCCATCACAAAGCGGAAAAGCTGCGCATGTTGTAACTTGTAAGCAGTGCAGTTGCAGGAAAGATGGGCGGATGAGAGCTTACCATCAATTGTAAGACCCTTCTCCATCTTTAGCTGATCCTTTGTGATCCTGCACCAAGTGCAGAAGATGTTCTGGCTGCCAGAATCACTAAAACCGCACAGCCGGCACATTGCAGGATGGTCACAGCAGACGGCAACTAAGACAAGACGGACAATGCAGCCTGTAGCAGCAGGTTAGTAGGTATAATATGACGTTCAAGGGGCACGCACCTATGGGACAGCCTGCTGTTTTGACAACAATTCTCTCATCATATAGTTTGAGCAAGTCAGTGATGAATGCAGCCATGAAATGCTGCAGCTCATCTGCACTAAACTCGCGGGGCCCCGGAGTAAGACCACATAGGAGAAGATTTTCTGGGGGATAACTAAAGGCGTTCGATCAGTTGTGTTCTAGAGAAAGGATGATGGGCACTCACCGTAGAGATACCTCAAGGTTCTGAACGCATAGAGACAAGTTGCCGGTGCTGTGCTTTCTGGCGTACGCGCTGCATGCGAAGGCGAAGCTGTTGAGGAATGCACTGGTGAGCGTGATAAGAGAGATGAAGGACCTTATTAATATACCCGTCGAAGCCCATTGTGACGCCAATCCGCAGCTCCACTGTGTGCGCGTTGTCAAAGAACAGAGTTCTGTCGACACCCTTAATGGTCTTCCATATCTCACCGTCTTGAACTCGACGCAGTCTGCCCGGCTCAGTCGGTGTGTCATGCCATTTGTCGAGCTCTGCCTCCATCGTTGGCGTGCTATTGATGAGCTCTGCAAGGATCTCTGACGGAAGTCGCATGGGTGCCTGTAGCGCAGGCTTTGCAGCCCCCTTGGCAGAGATCCGTGAGCACCATTGGTCCCAGTGATCAACAATATGGGTGCCGAGTGTGATGGAGGCATCGCTGTAGGCTGTCGGGCTTATGTTCTTGAATAGAGGCTTGTTCTCACAGTGGGAACAACATAGGTCAGGGCCAGAGTCTGCTGGGTATACGCGGCAGCAAGATGGGCATACAGGACAAATCGAGAAGGTATCACTGAGATCGAGCCGCTGAAGGGTTGTTCTCAGTGTCCGTGGCACATCAGACTTGCTGTCGAAAAGGCCGAGGACCGTGAACAAGACGTGAAGTACCGAGATGAGGATCACAATAGCCTGGTGAGAGACCCCTTGTTCGGCATGTAGGGAGGCACATAAAAGCAGGATTGGCCACCAGAACCACATATCTGTCGAGGTTGTGATGGTTTCAACTGCAGAACGCTTGCGCTCGAAGACTGGACGCGGTTGCTGCTGCTGTGTTGAGCTATCATGCCGAGCTACCATTCCAGAAGCTGCTGTCTGAGGGCGGTCAGGAAGCTCAGGCAGAACAAGGTCGGCAGGGTCAGGAAGCTCAGGTGGAATAAGTTCGTCAGGGTCCAGAAGCTCAGGTACAGGATGCTCGCCAGAGCTATTGATGTCAGCGGACTTGCCATGCCACATCTCCAGATCAGCGAAGGACTCTGCAGAGGGCGGAAGGACCGGGACCAAGGAGCTATCAGCGCCCGAAGGGGATTCTGACATAGCAGACTGTACCACTGATCCAGGGTATGGCGTGGCAGGTGCAGGTGACAGAGGTGCAGAGGCCGAACGATATTCCGAGGTAGATGAAGCCACATCATCCAGAGGTGAGCAGGGCAGAAGAGTGGCTTCAGACGCAGTGAGGTCCATAGAATCAGCGCATATATGTGCTACAGATGTACCTTCCTGGTTGTACAGTGCATCTCCAACAATCACCGTCAGTTGTGGACTGTCGGTGGGGGGTTGCACTTCTGCCGTAGTTCTAGCCTTCTTCTTAGCGAGACGCTGGGCAAGCACCTCGCCAGCCGTTAGTTTTCGCTTAGGGCGTACTTCGTCTTCAGAATCTTCTTCCTCAGAACCCTTCATGTTGCGCTTTGCATGGTTGCGTGCAGTCTGCGTTGGCACCCATCTGCCGTTGCACTTCAGGCACCAGCACTCGACGAGCCACTTTTTTGTGGCCTTGACCTTTCAAAGGCATGTCAGAGTGGTGTAGCTTCTCATTTCCGAAGTGATGTTTACTTACTTTACAGTTCAAAAAGCGTGCCATGGTCAGAATGTTTATCACTGGCACAGCAGGTGGTGGTTATGAGAGGGAAAAAGTTATATTACTGGACTTAGCAAGCTGCGAAATTCACAAGATTCCCACAAACATTTTAGACAGCCTACACCCAGTGCTTGTACGACAGTATAGGTTAGCCAATCAAACCTCTGTATAGACTGGCCGGACGTACCATGCACAGTTTGGTGTAGACGCTCTGGCGCCAACTAGAGTCATGTCCGCTCAACCGGTCTACATGCCACCCTTGTACTTGACATATCGCTGGCCACACCAGGGGTTGTATATCCTCTCTAAACACATACTCTTTCTAGCTATTTTTACATTGTCTCCTGCCACCATCCTTAGAAAGGCCCGACACACAGTGAGGGTGGGTTATTGTGCTTCTCCGACAGACACTCACTGAGCGCCCATTAGTTCAGTGTTATCTGATGTGTTTGGCCTCCATCCATCAAGGACGGAGGGCTTTTCTTGGTGAAATCCCTCTTGAAAGGATGGCGAAAGATGCAGAGAGAGCATCCTAGGGGTTATTAGGGGTAGTTGTTCGGTAGAATAAGGCCCTCGAGGGGGATCACCCGAAGGCGCCCAAGGGATGGTGGTGGTACGAGGGAGAGGCGCTGGCCTTCTCGAGTTACGGGGCTCCTGTGTGGCGGCTATTGTCACGTCATCCTGTGACTCGGACATGACCGAAATTCATCATCACGTGGTAATGCCGCTGTGACTTCCTCGCGGCAACACCCTTTCATTAAAGTATGGGGAGGGCGTGGCCAAGGGCATCCATCCTTGCGAGCGGGGTTAACTGTTTGAAGCCTTTCTTCGCTTTCTGCCCTTGCCATCTTCATTGACGACCCAACCTATGGGACGTCGTGATACGCCGACAGTAAGACCCCGAGCTACTAGGAGACCTATCGATCCTGCCGATGCCCTAAAGCAGGCTCTTGACATGTTCAGTGGTGTCGCCAGCAATCTCCCTGTGCCGGGCTTGCAGGCCGGCGTTGGCAGTCTCTCGACGGTGTTGGACGTGATGCAGGTATGTGCTCCGTACCGTCTCATGGGTGCTGAGTCTCATACTAGGGTTAGAAACCGCATGCAAATGTCGAGAACATCAGCAGGCTGACCAAGGATATCGAGGAGTTATCGGCGACGGTAAAGAAGTACACAGAAGTCCACGACCAGAGGCTATCGCCCCATATGGAAGACGCATTTAAACAGTTACTCTCGTGAGCCTCTTGTCGACTATATTGCTCCAGACTGCTCATACGGCACAGATCATGGAAGGCGATCGATGACAAGGCTATGCATCTCAGATCGTGGTCTGAAATACGGAGAATATTTCAGAGTGGCGTCGCAGGATTCATGCAAGGTATATCTCAGTCAATCAAAGAGTTTACAGTATGAAAAATCTGTCCTTGGTCATTGCCTCTGCTTACCCAAACATTGCCTTATATTGTAGACAGTGGGCATCCTCGAAATGCAACACACATTGGAGGCATGTAAGAGACGTGCTTCAACTGCTTGTACTGACATTCGCTTGGGGACAACGGGCGTTGCAGGATCGTGCACGCGATTTCGACAGGAGAGGTCAGCACGTGGACAGTAAGCCAGATGCGATTGTGATTAATACCCGAGTAAGGATCTCTCAGCAGACGTACAGATCACAATCTGACCCCTAATCCCCACACCGTTATTGCTCGGACTATCTCCATACTTACAGACGCAGCCTCTTCAGAGCCTGATGGGTCGTTCCAGAATTGCATCCCCATCCTCATATGATATGAACTTAGGACATTGGGATGAGCGGAGTGAGTCATTGTCTTGAGTCATTGTACGGATATTCATCCGCACTACTCACCCAGGTAGTGAACGGTTTCTCCGCTGTTGGATGCGGCTCCCCACCGAGCTGCATGACTACATTTACGACTTTCTAACAAGCCCCGGCCGCAAAGCCGATTTCTTAACGCTGTCCCTAGTGTCGCAAACCTGGTGCCGATACTTTCGTCCTCGCCTCTTCGCCCGGCTTATTCTGAAAAGTGAGAAGGACTGTCGCATGCTATGCGGCATGGTGCGCTCCCCACTGTCATCCTGGCTTGCAGAGCACATCATCGAGCTGCGCTTCCACTACATCATCCCTCCTGGTTATCCACTCCGGACAGCTCTCGTTCGTTTCCTCCCCGCCTGCCGTCACATCCGGCATGATTTCCACGACAAACCCGCTCGCGTGTTGCTATCGCACAACGCAGCTCTGAAGAGCTCACTGCGGAGCATCACCTCCTTGACACTCATCAATTGCGACTTCTCATCATTCCGAATCGTGCTCCATGTACTAGGGGATATCACCTACCTGGAAAAAGTTGCTTTCTGGAAGATCAAGTGGTTGGATGACCGACTCACAACAGCTGACACTGTGAGCGACGTCTGCGCGGGAGCCTTCAGCCATGTGCGCTCGGTCGAGATGGATTTCTGCACGAACAACGTGGCAGTGCCGGCTTGGATCCTAGCCGCCGCAAGTACGCAGCACTCGTTCACCAGGTCGGCAGTCCCTGCACAAATGTGGACCACCATCAAGCTCTTCCAGAAATTCTTGGGTGACAGCACGTACAATTCGCGGTTTGATGTCAAGGAGGCAACTGCCGGTGAGCTTGATCGGTCTCTCTACCAGGCCGTTGTACTCATCGGATGATCCCAAGATACGTACAGATTTGTTGGTTCTCTGTCCATGAAATTCCTGGAACCGGACACCGCATACATCTCAGTCCAAGTGGTCAGGTCTGCACCTGCCGCTAGCAACAATCAGGCCTGGTCTGTCCGCCAGATCGTCCTCGCTTACGGACCCCACATAAATTCGCACACGTATTTTTACTCTCGCAATTGGTCCATGATCGCCTCTCTTCTACTCGCGTTCCCACAATTACAACAGTTCCAGGTCCTCTGCGGGAGAAATTGCTCAGAAAAGGACTTCCGCCTGCTCTCTGACAAGATTGCGGTGGCAGTCAACAACGGTGTGCGTCTACTCGTCACACTTCAACGTGACGCGGATCTACCAGACGGGAGATACTTGCAGCCGGCGCTGTTTGATCTAACCGAGGAGCGCGCGGAGGCAGCACGAAAGAATGGAGGACGTTCGTGAACGGCGAAGTCAACGACTTTCTGGAAGAATGGCGGTATTCCTACATATAAGTGACAACGGATCAAGCTGTAGAGGCTTTGGTGCTCGAGATACTATCCTGACGGAACTAAAATAGGTTGACTGATGTTTACTTCTCGTATATCCGGCGTCCTTGTATATCTGCGTTTTATAGTACTATCTCACCTCTGTACTTGCGTGGCTTGCATCTATCTGACCGAGTGTACTTCCAATAACGACATAGACACAGTCCAGACAATGTTTTGCGCGCTGGGTTGTAAAAACCTGTAACTTCATTGCTTCCCCGAAGCACCTTGCCAACCGTAGCGGGTCTCGCGGATAGCAGTCGGCAGCATCTGTACCCGCTCGCTGGCGTTATCACTTCGTCCTGTTTGTTCAGATGCAAGAGGAGCAGTTGTGTCGTTGCTTCACACATAATTTGGAGAGAATTGGAAGTTTAAATGAGGTCGGTATGGGCGCTTCTGATCCCCGTGTGCTTTCGTCTCGACCTCCGTGTCAACTGCAATAATCATCGCGCATCTCCTCTCGAGTTGCCTGCTAGAGCCCGAGTCCGAGTTGAAAAGCACTAGTTGACAATCTTTTTGAGGAAGGGGGTTAGTTTTCGCTGAGGGTTTGTTGTAAGTCGTCGACTGGACTTGTGCCGAACGACTCACAAGCCAGGCATCCCGCACACAACAGCAAGACGCGCTCTCCAGCCATGTATTCTGCAGCCGCTCTCGATTCTAGGATAGGAATTGTGGACGACGACGCGGCACCTGAGCTGCCCTCCTTACCCGACCTGCTTGCGACCTCATCCTCAAGTGTGGTTCCTTCGTCCACCTTCGCCAAGCCCGAGTTCTCAGCCTACCTATCACATCTAACCGACCTTCCCCTGTCCGAAATCGAAGCTGAACCCACGACCCTCTCGTCCTCTTCCGCACAGCTCACGAATGCGCTCACCACGCTCTGCCACACATCGTACCCCACGTTCCTGTCGCTGCACGCAACTACATCGACACTATCCTCATCGCTTTCGTCGCTATCCTCCTCTCTAGACGGCCTGCTGTCTGCGCTGCCCGCACTGGAAGCCTCCGCACGCTCGTTCGCACAGGAGACACGGGAGATCCAGAAGGACCGGCGGAAGGCCGGCCTGGTGCTCGAGCAGCACGACAAGCTGCACGACGTCCTCTCGCTGCCGATGCTCCTCGACTCGTGCGTGCGGAACCACAACTACAACGAGGCCCTGCTCCTCGCGAACCACGCCGCGGGGCTCGCGCAGCGCTTCCCGGCGAACGCCCTCGTCCAGTCCGTCAAGGGCGAGTGCGACGCGCGCGTCGAGGCGATGCTCGCCCAGCTGCT